GGTTGAGGCCCCTTCCCTGGAGATATTCAAGGTGAGGCTCGACGAGGCCTTGGGGCAACCTGGTCTAGTTGGGGGTGTCCCTGCTGACTGCGGGGGGGTTGGACTAGGTGACCTTTGGAGGTTCCTTCCATCCCCGACCACTCTATGATTCTATGACATTAATATTAAAGATACTACTCCAACAAGCAACATGATGAAGCTGAAGCTTGCCCAGCACTTGCAATTGCAGTTAAGCTTAGGAAGTTTGTTTTGTTTCAAGTTTTCTGTGCCAAGTTTCTACCTCAGGCTGGCATCCTGGAAAACTTGTCACTGGGACAATTCAGTTGTCTCAGTTCTTCCATAACTAATCCAGCCCAAAAATCACAGAATCACAGAATCTCCTAGGTTGGAAGGGACCTTAAAGATCATCTTGTCCAACCGTCAACCTAAATGTTTCTCAGGTTTATTTGAGCAACATCGGAAGAATCTGTCAGCCATGTAGCTCTTGATCCTCTTTATACCGATTTGCCTAAATTTTGGGTTGGGAAAACTTGGCTTGCCCATGCTCAGTGGAGATTAGTGCTTTCTTGTCATACACGGAGAAGATGTGGACCTGTTGAACGGGTCCAGCGGAGGGGCCACAAAGATGGTCAGAGGGCTGGAGCACCTCTGCTGTGAAGACAGGCTGAGACAGGCTTGTTCAGCCTGGAGAAGAGAAGGCTCCAGGGAGACCTTAGAGCCCCTTCCAGTCCCTCAAGGGGCTTTGGGAGAGATGGGGAGGGACTCTGGATGAGGGAGGGGAGCCCTAGGAGGAGGGGGAAGGGTTTGACCCTGAAAGAGGGGAGATGGAGCTGAGATGTGGGGAAGAACTTGTTTGGTGTGAGGGTGGTGAGAGCCTGGCCCAGGTTGCCCAGAGAAGCTGTGGCTGCCCCATCCCTGGAGGAAACAGACAGTCCCCTGGTCTGCACCACGGCCCTTGATCCCAAAGTGGTGCCATCTGAGGGTGGATATATTGGTATCAAGGAGGGCCATGGAGATGCTGGGAGGGCTGGAGAGAGTTGGGGGGTTCAACCTGGAGAAGAGAAGGCTCCAGGGAGACCTTGGAGCCCCTTCCAGTCCCTCAAGGGGCTCCAGGAGAGATGGGGAGGGACTCTGGATCAGGGAGGGGAGCCCTAAGAGGAGGGGGAAGGGTTTGACCCTGAAAGAGGGGAGATGGAGCTGAGATGTGTGGAAGAACTTGTTTGGTGTGAGGGTGGTGAGAGCCTGGCCCAGGTTGCCCCGAGAAGCTGTGGCTGCCCCATCCCTGGAGGGGTTCAAGGGCAGGTTGGAGGGGGCTTGGAGCAACCTGGGCTGGTGGGAGGTGTCCCTGCCCAGGGCAGGGGGGTTGGAACTCGATGATCTTGAAGGTCCCTTCCAACTCTAACCATTCTGTGATTCTGTGGGTCTCTCTTCCCCAGCAAGGCTTGCCCCGTGCCTCAGTTTCCCCAGCAGAGAGACCAGCGCTAAAGCTGGGCTCCCAGTCCAAACCGCGACATCCCTCCCCGTGCCTCAGTTTCCCCCCTCCCCCCGCTGTGTTTTGTCACTCAGGGATGAACAACCGGGAGGTGCTGGAGCAAGTGGAAAGGGGCTACCGTATGCAGTGCCCGGGCAACTGCCCCCCCTCCCTCCATGACGTGATGGTGCAGTGCTGGAAGCGGGAACCCGAGGAACGGCCCACCTTCGAGTACCTCCAGTCCTTCCTCGAGGACTATTTCACCGCCACCGAGCCCCAGTACCAACCTGGGGACAACCAGTGACCCGGCGTTGGCACCCCCCCTCCCTCCTTATCCCCCTCCCCAGCCGGGCTCTGGGGTGTTTTTTGGGGCAAATCACCCTCTTTTTGCAGGGTGGTTGTTGCTCTCTTTGCCTGTGGTGTGTCGTCCACCTGGGGACAACCAGTGACCCAGCATTGGCACCCCCCTTCCTCCTCGCCCCCCCCCCCAGCCGGGCTCTGGGGTGTTTTTTGGGGCAAATCACCCTCTTTTTGCAGGGTGGTTGTTGCTCTCTTTGCCTGTGGTGTGTCGTCCCCCCAAAAATGCCTGTTGGGGGGTGCTCAGGATGCCCCGGGGAGGACAAGGGGCTTTGCACAAGGATTTTGGACTCAGAGAAGGGGGGGGGGAAAGCT